TATATCTATTAACAGTCCTTAAAGTCACATTAAGAAGTGCTGGTCTCTGATTCTGTTCTATTAGTATGTTACCATTCTCTTACTTACTATTATTTATTTCCTATACTTTATTGAACTCATGACACTAAGCTGGCATTCTTACTCTCTAGCCTCCAGTGTTCCCTTGAGCCCTTTTGCTTAATTCATTGGATATTTAATACTATATCCTTACAGAACTCTATAAAATGCAAACTGAAATTTAGCACAACATTTAAGACTATATTACTAATGAGAACATCTGCAAAATTATCACAAATAAATCTCTAGGGCTTGGAAATACATTAAAACTTCAAAAAGACTAGCTGAACAGACTTATTTAAATGACAGAACTGTAAATTTAAAATAATTTTTTGTGTCATTTTTTAGTTCCTACAGCAACCAGAACACAATGTCTAAATATTGCCTATTTCAGAGTCCAGTATAAATTTTTAAACTACTCTTAAAATTGTAACTACATACCAATACACCACTAAGTAGTGCCAGTTTTTGCTAACATACCAATTTATTGATTTTTGTACAGATTTCCTTCTCATAGTGCTTAAAAGTAAGCTAGTTCTTACATATGGAAACAGTCCCCTCATAATCTGGTTTACATTATTTATTCTCTGTGAAGCACCTTTCTTCATAAACAGTAAAAGTTTTTTTCTGTTCAGTAGGTCAAGGGCTGAAAATTTAATTTATTAATATTTCTGTGCCCAATGCCTAGAAGAATTCCTGGCAAGTAATAGGCATTTGATAAATGTTAATTGAGTCCAATTATCTCAAATTCTAAATGTGTAGGAATTAATAAAATTTTACTGCATAAAATGTCTTATTGAATTTACATTTTATCTAAGATTATAAGTTGTTTAAATACTCATCACACTGAGAAGCAGTTAAAATTTTCCATTTAGAAACCCCAGCTGTATATTACAAATATATTTACCATTTCACTAAATGTCTATTAAGTAGTGTTTTAGGAGTTTTATATTCAGACTTAGATGAATCAGCAACTATTAGAATGGCAGTGGCAAAGTGATATTGATGAAAAATTATTTCAAATGTTCAAGCATAATTATTAGCATTATTAGTCTGTTAAAGTCCTGGGCATTGAAAAACAACTAGTATTTGTTCTCACAAAAGTAGTTTGATTTAGAGGAAACACCAAGACCTGTCTCTCAATTTTCCTCTTATCAGAAGTTACAAAGGATGACTCTTTTGAGTACTTCAATTAGGAATGGAGTCTCTGAATTGACTCAGGTGGAAAAAAACCAAGGTAGACAAGATCTCAGATAGAATTTTTGGGGAGTAAGAACTGGGATAAAGGAAATTTTCAGCCTGCGCATTGATAAGGTAACCTGGTTCTGTTAATTTAACCACTTAAATCTAAAATGATGGAAAACATTATCCACAAAAGAAAGTTTTCAATAGAGGTAGAGGTAGTCAGAAGTTTCAGACAAGGGAATTCATAGAAGAGACTAAAAGAAAAATATTCTGAAATCTAGGAAAGTAAAGTAACAGTGGCTATATAGCCCTGTTAATCGCCCGTATTTCTTTTTTCTTTTTCCTTCCCTTCTCTATGTATAAAAGAACATAAAGTAAAAATATAAATATTACATAATGTAGATACTGACAAATTTAATTCCCATCACTATTCATCAGAAGAAATTTAAGCAAATTATATAGATTCCTACCAAATTTTTAACACTCTTAATATTAATTTTAAAATGTTCATGTCTATAGTCTGCAAAATTAAAAAATACAATTCTTTTATGATCAGGAAATTGTTACTTATTTGTGTTTTAAAAAGACACAAAGATATAATTAGTTATGCTTCTAATATGCTGAAATAAAAACACTTTTTTCATTAAATTATTAAAAATTACATGAATATTTGTCATTTCATGAATCTAGATTTTGGATTAAAATTTTGCCTAATTTTAAAAAATAAAATAAGTATAATAATTTGGTCATATTATATCCTTTATTTTTGCCTACTTGGAATAAATCTCAATGGTTTAGGCTGGCATTTCAGATTATGAGGGAAAGCAGAATGTCACATATTGTCCAGAATTTTGTTATCTTTGATTCTCATATTTCAAAAATCAGTTTTGCTAAGGGCTATGGCAAGAGTAGATTTTAATGCAAAGTTAACACTAACAGAATAGGGCATACCCAGGAAATAATTAATAGTAAATTTTAAACATTTCTGCCAATTATAAACACAAATGTATTTTAATCAACCAATGAGTAGTTACTGAGTACCAGTTGGTGCAGGCTTTGTGGGAGAAGCAAGTACAGGACACACTATAGACATTACAAATATCGAGTGGTACTCAATATGCCCTTTAGAAAACTCCCTCACGACAGGCAAGTGTGTCTAACGAACATTTGAAGATGGACGAGAACAACCATGGGGCATTTTATTTTGCAAATTTAAAAAAAAGCAATTGTCTAAGAACAAAAGGACTGCATTTGGCTTAGCAAATTTATAAAGATAGTACTGTACTGCCCTCATTTTTTCATTGTAGTTGAAGTCTTCTTCCTACAATGGCTTATTGTGCACATTACAAAGTCTTCAGGGTCTTCAGAATTAAAGTGACAGAGTTTTTTTTAAGCACACTTGAGAATGGATCATTCTTCCTTACTCTTAACATAATATGCCTTTACAGACTTCTCCAATAATTCTAGTCATCTTGACAAAAGAAAATCACCAAGACAATACAATGATTTTACAAAGAGAAAGAATGACAGTTTCCCTTCTACTTTTCAAAAATGTTTTACAATATGATTTGAGATTGGCTTTATTCAATAGGCTGCAAGAGGAATCAATTCTTACAAAGTGACATCCTCTATAATAAAAAACACCTACACTTCTGAACAACACAACCATTCCTACACATTCACAATGTTATTATTATTACCATTACAATCTTTTCCAGAATAATTTTCTGACGGGGAAAATATGGCTTTGTTTAGAATAAACTGACAATGTCAGTAAAACAAGCAATAAAATACAAAAGGTTGAGGGTTTTGTTTTTATTCTTCTGCAAGTTTCGTGAAAGTCCGTATTATTTCTTGCCTTCACTAATGAGACTGGTGTTCTGCCTATCAATGGTTCATTTATCCAGCAAATATTTATTGTGCACCTACTATGCACCAAGTGTTGTGCACGGTTACTAGGTGTTGGTTACAGTAGTAACCCAAACAGATAAAGCCCCTGAACTTATAGTGTAGGCAGATTTAGACAACTAATCCCATAAATAAATACATGATATGAGTACCATGAAGAAGAATACCAGATGTCAAGGGAGAAACACAGTAAGACCTGATTTCATCCTCAATTTAGGCTGGAACCTGAAAGATGACAAAGAACTTGCCAGATAAAGACTTAGAAGAGGAGCATTCCAGGGGACACAGCTTACATGGAGGTCGTGGGTTTTACATTCCCAAATCTAAACAAAGGAGGGGGCTCAAGTGCAAGAAGGAGAAACAGTCATAGTCAGCACCCACTGAGGCTGGAGCGCAGAGGTCAGACAAGAAACAGGGACTCTTGGTCATATGAGGGAGTTCTGATTTTCTCCTAAGAGGAATGGGAAGCTCCTGAAGGATCTGCAGCAGGGGAGTGATAGACGTTATGATGTTTTATAAAGATGATTTTGTCGACTGCCTGAAGAACAGATTGCGAAAGGTGTCCTTAGAGCCAACACTCTCCAGCTGACTTTCAAGTCCTTCCTTAGAATGAGCCCTGTCATCTCCCACACACACAGTGCCCAGGCACCTGGCACACACGGCCATTCTGAAACTTACTTCCCCACCTCAGCACCTGACTATGCTTTGGCTCTGCCCACACTGTCTCCTTCTTTACTAGTTAAAATGTCCGCATGCTAAAGGAGACCCACCTGGCTCCAAGTCCAAATCCTCCATGAAGATGTTTTCACTGTTTTTTAAACCCTGGGGCACTCGGTATAGAAATTTGGAGCAGCAAAAAAAAAAGAGCCCTGAACAAGGAACTGATTTTGGCTTTAACTGCTAAGCTTCAGTTATTTGTCTCCTGAGATTACTCACTACACTCCAACCCTCAGATGCACACACTCAAGTCATGGGCTGAAAACCACTGATAAAGAGCTCTCTTATTTTACATTTTTAATAAAACGCAGAACTTGATGTAAAAAACAATTTTCGAATACATTTTTATGCTGCCGATATACACTGTTGCACACACGCACAAATACCAACAAAAATTGCAGTTAGCTAATTTTTCTATTTCTATGCTTAATTATCTCCCTCTAATTGTGACAAAAAGGCGTGAGTATGTCTGATGAAATATACTTAATCTAATAATAGACTTTCAGAATAAAAAAGAGCTATCTGAAGTCAGAGAGCCAAATAATACCTATTTCTTAAAGTTATATTTTCCCCCAAAGCTGCCCAGCAACTGGGTCATAGCTTTACCTAGAAAGCATAACTAGACTGACTCAGGCACAAAGTTTCTTGCAGTACACTCTTATTTACTGTTTATATTATACCTACTTCTGAAAGGAATTATGGCTTTCTCTAAACGGGAACTTGCAGTAGCTGGCCTGCAAACTGCTTTGAGTCTGGCTCCTCCCTGAAACACCCCATATGCAGGAGCAAGCTGATCTAATCGAATCGGAACCTGTGGTTCTGCTGTAATCCAACTAACTCATGTAGACAGACCATAATCAGGCACATCCATAATTGTGGGTTCTAAAAGATCATTTTGTCTGAAAGAGTCCAATAAAAATTTAAAATATGGGATTTTTGTAACTTAACTTTGACAACATTTGACTAGTCTGTTATCTTAAAAATTTTAAAAATCTTAAAAATTTTTCTATAATCACTTCACAAAGAAAATATAATCCATATTGCTTCAATTATAAAATCTTGACTAAATGAAACTTACGAAATAAGCCAACATTTTATTCTAATGTCCACAGAGGCATCTCCTTACTCCTCACCTTGATCTCTTTCATGCCATGTTCGACTTCCAGCAGCTGGTGAATTCGGAGAGGGATAAAAGTCTCCTGTAGGACTTGGTTCCATATTTTCATCTATGGATATAGTTTTGGGTCTTTTGCTGTTAAAATATGACAATAGCTGTATTAAGGGGATTTCAGGGAAGATGTGTAGCATATGATAATACATAATTTGAGAAGATTCTTACTGTGGAAACTTCCATAAACACAAGTAACAGTATCTTAGAATCATGTTGAAATAATGGTGAGTATTCAAGACATCAACAGGAGTAGCAAATATTTTTAGCTGTAGAGACCATTTGTTATACCGTATTATACCTGTACCTGCCTAACAAATATGGTGTTTATTATATTTACCTTTGAAATGTATTTCCAAAGAAACTTCAGTAATAAAAAGTGAATTCTTAACGTGATGAGTACTAATTTTAAAACTGTTAAGATTGTGCCTGACTCTTATTGATAATTGTTATCAATATTAATAATGTTCATTTGCATAGCATTTGCCATTAACAATGTAATCCCTTCACAGTAACTCAATGATGAGGTAATGGGGGACAGTGAACACAAGCTTTGGAGTCAGGGTGGCCCAGCATCAAATCTTGACTAGGCCACTTGCTACTTCTGAACATTCAGCTCCTTAACCTTTCTAAACTCAGTTTAATCATCTGTAAAATGGAAATAATAAAACCTAGTTCAAAGGAGAATGTTTGAGAGGATTAAATGAGTTATTAAATGTAAAGCTCTTAGTTAAGTGGCTGGCATTTAGAAGATACTTATTAAACAGCAATTATTATTAGCAACCCTATAATTAATAATATTAAAAAATTTAACAGTACTTCACTGATTTTAAACTATTTCATATATTCTTCTTTACCTTTTCCTTAAAAGTTGGGTTATTGATCCTTTATGCTTAAGATCAAGCACGAAAAACAGGCCATTGCCATATCAAACCAAACGGTATACTTTTAAAATAGTACATTGTAATAGAGAAAACATGGCTCATCTCAATTAGGAAGAAAAGCAAATATTTAGAGCAGACTTTTATGGCACACGCCATATTGCTTAACATAATTCTTTCATATATCCCCACCAATACCCTATTAAACAGTTAATTAGAACTATGAAAATGGATATTTTTTCCTTCAATTTAAAAAAATTTCTCATTCACATCTATGCAGCTAAAAACTAGAAAAAGATATCTTCTGAATTAAGTTTATGCAGTGATAATAAATGTAAAGGACTTCAGAGTTGGAATTGACCTCAGAAGTCATACACATAGATCAATCCTTCCTTTTTTACAAGTGGGGAGACAACTTCAGAGAAATTCAGTGAACTGCCCAGGTCAAGTTAATGGAAGTAGTCCAACACAAAATAAGGACTTCTGACTTCCAAGACTGTGCTCTTTCTACCAAACTGTTTCCAAACCATGGAAGAACGTGTATGTCTGGGTATATTTATAGACATACTTGTGATTAATATTGGACTCACAACTCCCAGAGTATTAACATGATGTAGAAGATGGCAATCTCCTAGCCATGCTAAACCATAGTGAGATTAAATAATAGTTCTTTAGTTTCACTTTATATTATCCAAAGTTAGAACTTATATTTTGTTCAACCCTCCTTTAATCTAATTCTCCCATCTGTGGGTCAGCAGTAAATATAGATGGAAAACTTAAAATGAGAAAGAAAAGATTTTCATAAAGAAGTAATAGAGAAATGTTTTTAAACCTTTTTTTTATTTTGAATGACATAATATCTGATACTGAATGACTATGAGAAAAGATGTATGTTGACAACATACCAATCCAACAGACAAAATAAAAAATTACTATTCACATTTTAAATTTAGAAAAACTAAAGCATTTTTAAGACCTCACCATGTCATTGATAATTTTAGTGATGATAAACCCAATTATCTTGCTATGCAATCTAACTATATGAAAATACAGTTTGATCCTAAATGATATGAAATTGAACTTAGTTTATAAATATACAAATGTGCACAGCCCCATAATCAATTCAAATGCAATTAATTTTCATTATTGATAATAGAATAGGAAAATAATTATCCAGATATTCTTTTACTTTTAAAAAGTTGACATTATAAATGTATGTTTTACTCTGGAATTCACATATCCTCTAATATTTCATCATGGGTATATTTAATGCTCTAGAAATGAGATGGGTCTTCATATATTGAAGATCCAACTCAAAAAATAAAGCTATAATATTTATTCATCTTGGCTTCTCATTAACTCAGTTCTTTTCTATTATTCTATAACAGTGGAACATATCATCATGAAATCCCATGCACAACTTTCCAAGCTATTTATCCCTCATTTAAACAGGAAACCTCTTTTTAAACTCCTGTGGGACTGAAAGTTACAATTAGAAGGTCAAGAGAGAAAAAATGAGAATATCAATAGAGAACTAAAAAGCAAAGTAACCTGATTTTAGCTCTTCTCCAACAAAGACTGGTTAAACCAAATCTCAGAGCAGGTAATAGTTTTATTGGTAACTGAGAAATAACTAAATTATTCAAAGAATATCAACTAATTGAAGAACTTGGCAAACTGTGGCCTAGAATAAGGCCTTTTACTTTTAAGATTAAGTAAATGCTACATTTTATTTTTCATGTTTCGTTATCCCCAGCTTGGATGTAGAATTAGCGTAGAAGTTACCAAGATGGATCAATCAGAAACCAGGGATCATTGCTATGACAACATCATTTTTAAAGTCATCACAAGAATTAGTTAACTTGTAGAATTATAATATATCAAGGAATAGGATAAAAATCATATTGGTACGTTTTCATAGTTCCCTTGTCCCCACAAAAAGATTTTTAAAAATGCTTTGAACAATAATTACATTTAATTTTTCATTATCAAAATAAATTTCACCAGAAGTGATTAAAAATCTGTGTAAAATCAGCAAAAAGTCTTGAACTCTTGGCTTTGTTTCCTCTATCTCTTTACCTACCTACCTATCTGCATAGAGACTGAGAACAAGAGTAGCTCCCCCTTCAGTTACCTGCTTGGTGGAGAAGACAGCGACCTCTGAAGATTGACCCCCGAGTTCATGTCATGATAGTATGGTTGGCTTGGGATTTCTCCAATTGGGAAGTTGACTCCAGTCCCCTGGGTTATGGGCGCTGAGGAATAAAACAAAGAGAAACACTGGGAATGACATTTACACTTGTCATCTCTATTCAAATGGAATAATCTCATACTTTCCATGCTTCTGGGCAAGGATGAAGAGAACTCTATTGACCTTAAGTCTCTAATATCAACCACCAACTGGGATTGGACTTGAACACTTCCTCACAATGCCAACATTCAAACGTTTAGAAACTCGAGGTACTCAGACTATAATCGTTGGTTATCACTTCCCCTACTCCCACTCTCCAACCTTCTTCACTCACTCCTTTGTATTAGTTGTCACTACATCTGCCACCCCACTGGTCTATAGAAGCATCAGAGGAAACATGTTTCCTATTGCTCAGCACCAAGAAAAGTGCTTTGTAGTAAGTTGGTTCTCAAAAACCAAATCATTGTTAAATAAATAAATACAGAACAGTTTCACAAATACCAAAGATTATTATCCTATAATAATATTAACACTAATATTAGAATGGATTAGAAATCATGATATTTTCTCAATAATTATGTCTTGTTTTTAAAAAAGTTTTTATGACACAGCTTTATCAATCATTTAAAATGTACTTTTAAGGTATTATTTTGTAAATCCACAATATTTTTTGAGTTTGCTGATATATTATGAACTGAGATTTTTGTATATAAGCGTTGGTTTTTGTACAATGGATTACAGCTGTTTGAGTTTTTAAAATTTGTTTCTAGACATCTTGAATAAACCTGAGGCAGCATGTTGTGTTACAGTGAGTAGAGTCTTGGGAGATAGATAGCCTTTTAGTTTTAACTCCTTCTGCCACTTATGGGCTATGCACCTCAGTTTCCTAAACTATAAAATGCAAATAATAATAATGTACTACATATGATTATGTTGAGGATGAAATGAGGTGGGGAGAGAGGAAAGCCCAGCATCGTGCCTGGTGCGCGGTAAGTGCTTAAGAAATGTGAGTTCCCTTCCTTCTTTGCTTTCTCCCCCAAACTTCTTCCCTGGCAGGCCGGAGTGGTTAGCAAAGATGGAACCATTCAAAAACACGCTAAAAGCAGACCAAGAGGTATAAATGAACCTAGTGGTTGAAAGTTGTTCGTTCAATAAGTTATTGATTATGTCCATTACTGGCAGGTGCTGCAACGGATACAAAATAGTCTAAGACAGTCCCTATCCTTAATATAACATATTGGGCAACAAGTTGGGTAAACAACACACTCACAAAAAAATGTATAAATACCAGCATAATACAGATTATAATGAAATTGCACAAATGAATGACATGATCAATAAATGCTGTAGGATTTCAAGGGAAGAAGAATCCAATACAGGCTTGAATGGTCCAAGAAATCTGTGGAAAAGCCACAGCTGACACTGGACTTTGGAGGATGAGTGAGGTATTGAAAGTAACCCCATTCTAAACAGGGCTCACCGCAGGAGCAAAGTCATGGGCAGAGATAATATGCAAGGCAGAGACCAGGCAGGTTGGTGTAAAAGGACGGTGCTTAAGAATAGTTTCCATTTCTTCACCTGTTTGTATCAGACCTTCAAAAGCTCCAATAAGAGAAAGTGTGTTGTGGCAACAAAATTTTAGAGCCCTTGAAATTCACTCTAAGAACACATGATCTGCTTAATCTTCCCCTCTCTCCTAACTGCCTCCAGATAAATATAAAATTCCAAAGAGATTGAGATTTTCAAGGCATTTTTCTTACCCAGACTTTTAATAAACATTCTGAATGTATTCATTATCAGTTGAATTATAGTACACTATCAGGCAGGCCAAGATTAACTTAAAATATTTTTTTAAGAAAGTATGATTAGAAGGCACATGCTTTATTGCAGAGAAGGAATATACAATGAACATCTCTCTTTCCCTATTAAAAATTAATCAAATCAATATATACAAGATTAGTCATAGCTCCAAAGTTCTCGAGCTTATGCTTTCTGTTAGATTGCTCCTGTTGTATAATATGCTTCAACCTCATTTTACACAGAAAATATTTGTATTCAATGTGTAACTCCGCCTAATGGCTTGAATTCTTTGCAAAGCTAAAATGTAGCTGTTTGTTGTGGCTTGAGGTATACCAGAGGTTAAAAAAACGCAAGGTAAGAAATCCCACGGTAACCACATGCTTTAAAGTTTATTATTAGAACCATGTTCTATGTGACATTGGAAAGCAGAGTATGTGCTAGGAGGCATTGAGGGGCTCAGCAAAAGTAAGCCATCTGTCTGGCTTCCCACACAGTAATGGACACAAGTCAAAGAACTGAGTTACTAATAGGAATCTTACAGGTTATATCTTACGTAAACTATTTGCAGTTTATTAAGCTCATGCAATATTTAGGCAAAGATTTGTAGTTTCTATTTAATACATATGGCTTGATAGTCAACAAAGATTGCTTGACCATAAACATACGAGGTGCAATTTATAGTAAAATGATGATAAAAATTCTTCGGAAATTTTGTTTTTTCAAAATTTTGTTCCAGAAGGATTATGCCAGAGTATCAAAACAGCAATAAAAATAATTTCTCTACAGATTTATACATGAGCATTATAAAAATTTAGTGTGCTTTCTGACATTAAATGGGAGATTACAGAAAGAAAAGTAGATTAATAAAAAACATGGCCAAAATCCAAAAGAGCGCACACAGAATTTATCTAACAACAAAGAGAGTATGTGAGAACTGCAAGTCCTAGGCAGATATTCCTGTTTAAAAGCCTCTGGAAGAACTTACATCGGATACAAAGATCAGCGTTAGCAACTCTCCCAGAGAGCTGCAAGAAGCCTGGAAGCTGCAAATCACATTTAAGAGGCTGCCAATAACCTCTTAGAAACGAAGCTTCGAAGAACCTCAGTTTCTAAGGGTTAGAGGCCAACGCTTAATCTCTCTCATTGTTCTCCTCTCCAAAAGCTGATCCTAAATCAACTTTTAAGATGGAGATAATATCATTCAACAGAAAGATCACTATCCTAAAACTGAATAGCTTCATTAGCTAAAGTCAACATACACATTAGTGGGTCATATGATAGTAAAACCCTAGAGGACAGAAACCATTAACATACTGTAAACCCTCAAGAAGTCAGAATTGGTGATATACAGCATAAGGGATAAGGGTTGTGCTGAAGTTTATGTTTACTTAGCAAACCCTTATTTCATAAACAATGAAGTTCAATTGTGTAAATAAGATTATAATGTGGATATATTAAAACACTTAGGAGAATAACTTCTCAAGTATTTCAGAGACACCTATTTACATATGAAGTAGAAAATGTTTGCTGAATAAATTAACTAATGAATAAATATAATGTACTAATTACAAATCAGTACTATTTATTGTAACAGGTAACTTAAAAATCTCTTAAGAGATGACAGCATGAATTAAAGAATGAATGAAGTATGTTAAATTTACCTCATATTTTTAACCTATTCTTTTATTTTTCAAATTCGGGTTTTTCAAAATATCTCTCTGGGTTTTCAAAGGTTCTAATATGGCTCTCCTTCTACAGTATCTAGTATAATGTTACTTACGATGAGGTACTAATAATATTTTCTGACAGACGACTCTACTGTCCTCACAGGAAGGACTATATATGTTTATTATGAAACTTAGAAAAGTACAAATTTAAGCACATAATTTCAGAATGCCTCATAACTGTAGCAGCATAGCCTCTCTGCTAAAGAACAGTATTGGGAAAACACACACATACACCTTCAAATACCCCCTTCCTTACATGATGCCAGAAAGTGGCAGTAAGTCAGACATGTTCCTTTCCAAATTAAAAATAAACATAAAAAACTTTCAAACGTCAGGGGCCATCACACACCACATATTGATCTGAAAAAAACACACAAGGCTCAGCACCTTGGTTGATGGAGTAGACCATCAGAATCCTCTTGCCCAGCAAATAGGAACCCTGGAGCTACTGGGATACAGGATGCGTATTAGGTTTGGATCTCCTACACTGCCCCCAACTAAACAGACCCGTGACAGAAGTCTTTGGGGGCATACATATATCCACTGCAGAATTATATCAGAAAGAATAAATTATTTAAGGCCTTAAATATTCATGTATTTTACTCCCTGGGATACATGCTATTAGCATCGGCCACTTTAGCATCTGAACTATTTGAGAAACGATGGTTCAAAAGACACAGTCACCCACTAACTTGGAGATTCTTCACCGAACACAACTCTAAAGAACTACCTATATTCAACCTCAGTAACTCACTCTTGCTTTGTCCTTTTGGATCATTATAATTCTTGTTCACGACCTCTGAATTTGACCCAAATGAAAAACACAATTTAAAACAAGGACCAGAGTGCCACTCCATCATCTGAATAACATCAGTCCAAACTGTGATGCTGTCTATCAAAATGTCAGGTGAAAACACACTCTTCAAAGTTACATAAATAAGCTAAGTCAGAGAAGAGAGCAAGAAGAAATGAGTCACCTCCTTTAACGTAATCAGTGCGTTAAGAGCCGCATCTTAGATATATTTATTTGCACACACTAGTAATAAGTAAAAGAGTTGATCAAGGAAACTTCCCCCTTGGTCAGTTGGTTGGCCAGGTGAACTTACCCAAGAAAAATCTCATCCGGCCTGCCAAGAATGGTGTCTCAGGTGAGCTGGCCGGTAAAAACAATTGGACATTGTTTTGGATAACAATGCTTTCTATCTATATCCACCTACAATCTGCAAAGTTAATTTCTGCATCCCTCTACACTCTGCATGTTAGTGTGTATATCCTGTACATCTCCAAGCCCCCACCAAAATGTTAGTAAAATGAAAAAGCACTTATCTACAGGAAACTTATGTGGGTTATCATAACAACACGGAGTACATTTAATTAATCACACTTCCTTTGATATAAATGACCATCTATGGTCACAGAGAGAGCAGTGAATTAAACAAATACCAATAACACAGGAATCTTAGAACAACCCTCAAATTATTTTCATACAACAAAAAGTTTTGATGATTTAAATGCAGATATTTTAGAAAATCAGACAAAATATAATCACTTATGATTTCATCAAAAGGTCAGAGATTTTAAAATTCAAGTTCTCCTAATATGTGGCTATCCTTCATACTGTATTTAAAGTTCAAAATATAAAATATTTTAAATCATACTGTATAATTAAATAATAAGAAAACTATTTACTTACTTCTGGATACCCTCACAAGTTCTGATACATTGAAGACTCCAGATTTTACGAAACTATCCTCAAGGTATCCTGAAAATAAACAGCAAGGGGAAAAAGATCAACATAAGCAGGAAGCAAATAAATGATTAAACACTAGAATTTGCTCAAGTGTTTTTAAAGCAAAGGTTAGAACAAAAACCAAGTGTGTTTACAACAAAGACAAGTAAAAGTGAAACCCTTGTGAATGCAAACTGGGTCTGCTTAAACAAAAGTAAAAAAGTGTAGATGCTAAGTAACCTCCTAGGAAAATTTTTTCTCAACTTTCTACACGTACAGGGCAATTTTATCCGCCACGGCCCATGCACAGAGAATGCAGGTTTGGGGCTCTCACTGAATGCAGTGAGAATTCAGCTCAGTAACACCTGGTAGACTAAAGTCCACCCATTTAAAAAAAAAGAAAGAAAAAGGAAAACCACAACCACAATTAGCACTTTGTTGGAATTACTTCAAAGATCTCTTGAAACCACTGTTCTTTCACAAATCCTTCCCTGATTAAAGAAAAGTGAGCTGCCATTACCAGCACTCCTACCCTTGTTCCAGGGTCATGAATCACACAAAAGCAGAACCAGAACATACAGCAAATTTCTTGCATCGACCTATTTCCATGCACCTTTAATATACCTCACACAATTTCTCGGCTTTCTCTTCCTTGCTCCTACTCCCTTGCACTCCTTTCATTGCAAGAACTGGACATTTTTGCTAGCAAACGATGGTGAATCTGGGCCTCCAGGAATGCCACGTCACCCTTCCGTGACATCCAGGTACAGGGTCCCCCGTGGCTGTGGCCCACAGCTCAGGAGCCTGAGTAAGTTCAGACCTGTTTGGTAGCTGGTCTGGCCACGGCCAGGACTAGAGATGAGGACTCCCACCAACAGCAGTCATGTTCCCAGGTTCTCATCTACGTGAAGGAGGTGAATGAGGGAGAGAACGTCGTAGGAAGGAGGGATGTGGTTACTCCCTGCTGCCCAGGGAGAGAACAAGTAGAGCCTGAAAATCCTCTGAACTAAAATACTTCCAGGAAAAAACTCTAGATTCCAAGAACTGGCAATTTGATTGGATTTTACATCAAGTTTTAGGGCTGACCAAGGGATTAGATTCAGAACAGGAATGTGAGGCCTGGGTGGTTTAGCAACATGTATCACTCAAGTCAAAGAGCTGAGGGCCGGCCCCGTGGCTTAGTTGTTAAGTGCACGTGCTCCGCTACAGGCAGCCTGGGTTCGGATCCCGGGTGCGCACCGACACACCACTTCTCTGGCCACGCTGAGGCGGCATCCCACATACAGCAACTAGAGGATGTGCAACTATGACATACAACTATCTACTGGGGCTTTGGGGAGAAAAAGGGGAGAAAAGGAGGAGGATTGGCAATAGACGTTAGCTCAGGGCCAGTCTTCCTCACACACACACACACACACAAAAGCTGAGATTTGACTCCCAACCAGAGTTTACCAGTGTGGAATCCTGGCCATGTTATTAGACTCTTTGTGCCTCAGACTCCTCATTTATAAATCAGAGATAATAAAATTACCTACCTCCTAGAGTTGTTAGGAATAATAAGTGAGATAAAAATATAAAACCCATAGTAGGGACTGATTAAATGTTACCAATAAGTTAGGATTGGCTACTGGAGTCAACAATCACCCACACACTAAATTATACACACTGGATTCCAGACTGTCTCAAATTATTTGTAAATCTTTATCTAGAAATTTTACCAGGACAAAAGTCACCAAACCACTTTTTAAAGACAGGAAAAGTAGGAAGAGACAGAAAATCATTTAATTAGCATATATGCTTCATTGCTGTGCACTGAGGAGCCATGTATGTCTGAACGCTGTTTTATGCCCACTCACCCACCTTCTTTACACAGAGCAAAAGAGAGAGCAAGAAGAAATGACAAGATCTCAGTTGGAGATAAAACTTACGTCTCACATTAAGTCATTACTCCGAAAAAAACATACATTTTTAAGAGGATAATAACAAAATGTCCCCATTTGATGCACCTCTATTTTAAGGAACTCCTCTTCTTGAGCAATTAATTTTTCACCAGGTTGAATTAATTTCAGTATTAATGAGAAACTTCTAAGCAGCCAACACTACACAAGGTGCTAAAAGCCATGAAGACAAAAAAGGACACTGACTCCCTTCGTGTGGTGGGGGAAAAAGATAGTTGTAATATTCTGAGCCACTATAGGTTATCATCGCGTACAAAGATTTCTGTTTCTTTCGTTGTTGTTTTAAAGCATAATAAATTATACTTTATTTTATATATGGTAAACATAAAATTTTACATATGGCAAATATATTAAATATGAAGGCTTTATTATCATGACTACCGCTCATGTACTTAACCAAGCTTATATGTCCTCACTCAGCTGTACTCTGTAAATGCCTGCCCTCACATCTTGTTCACGCAGCTCCATCTGATCAGACGGGCCTCTTTCTTCACACGCTATTCTCATCCTTCAATGTCCAGCTCAACCACCATCCACTCCATAATCTGCTCCTCTACCCTCCTCTCCCAACCCCTGTGCCAGCTAGAAATAATCTCTTTCTCCTGTATTCACATACCACCTAGTTTGTACCTACTTTACATTACTTTGCACATTAGAATTTTTAAAGATATCTGTTTTCAAGCCTTGTGTTCCTTACTGGATTATCGGCTCCTTTATTTGGGGGAACGACTGGGTTTTGTTCATCTCTATAACTTCATTAACAACTAACTCAGTGCCTATATAGAGTAACTACTAAATAAAGGCTTACAGAACAAAATTTTTAAATTCAACTCTTTGAAACAGGGTCACAAATGAACAACGTGGTAATTTTATAACAATGTAGACATAGATGGCTTAAGATTGAAGGATAAGTATACTGACCCTTATTATTCCCTGGAACTCATTTCCAGCGAATTTATTTAGGCTTTTGGGTAGAAGGGGAAAGAGTAATGATTAGAGTCAGATTGTGTCTTTGACTTTGTTGTGTATATATCACGTGAAGTACATAATAACCTTTCAATATGTAGATATCATCTGAAGTTCATTTTCTTATTACTCTAATGAGCAGTCAGGGCTCCATTTGCTTCTTAGTCATGCCCATAAGATGGAGTGGTGCGTGGACCTGTTAGGAGCCAAATCATAACGGGGGGGGGGGGGGGGCACCTCAGGCTAATCCTACCAGCGGGAAGACAGGAAGGCAATCACACATAGGCAAATATAATGACTATCTCATAGAAAAGGGAAGGCAATTCAGAATGTAGCAGGCTGTTTCTCCACTCCCCACTCCCAATTCCCCAAGTTCTAATGAATTTAATCCACAAGGAAAACTGAAAGAGCTATTTTACTAAAACTGTGAAAGGCACTGGAAATATGTCAGAACTGCTTTGGCATCCACCAGACAAAATGCAACACCATAGGTCCCACTGGGCTCCACTCCTGCGTGGAGCATAGTGAGACTTCATTGAAAGGAGGGCTCCCCAGGATGAGCAGTAATGCCTACCAACAATGACCTTATGGGAGTGGCGGTGGGTGGGAATCAGGCAACTGGGTAGCCTGGGAGAAGCACCGGAAGCAGACGGCTGCCACCTTCATGTATCTTTTCATGCAGCACAGCCTTTACAAGGGACAGGCATTACCCAAGATGAGGCAGGGTAAAGAAAAGAAATAGTGGATGACACAGTACTTAGATAGCTAATAGTGCTTGCTCACCAGCATACAAGAGACAATACTTAAGGACTCCGGCAAAATAACTGGGAGCATTGTATCGGGGGTCAGGAGCCCTGCAATAGCGCAGAGAGTGAGGGTCAGTAAAATGCAGGTTACTGGTGTTAACACAAACCCATCTGTAACCTCCATGCTGCTGGGGCCTTCCAGAAACATGGTTTTCATGTGTTACATAGACCACTGCAAATCTAAATAGCAGATACAAAGGCCAAAAATCTTAAAGCCATTTGGAGACATTCATATAGTAAATTCCCTTCCTCTACCAAAGGAAATATGAGCATCTCTGAGGCAGAGCAGCTGCTTAACGGTTACGGAGCAATATTACACAACAGCTTAAGCCAGGAAGCAAAGAACAACTCGGCATTTATGTGATGCTGTATTTACACTACATGTATGCTTTTTAAAAAATAAAATTGAGTAGGAAATAAAGACTTCTGTAAACTGAAAATTCTCAAAGGCAATATCAAATTATATTATTTTACTTCTTTTTTTATTTTTCTCTCACAAAAGCAACAATAAATCACTACTGAGAAGTTAATATAGTGTTTAACCTCCTTTACAAACAATAAGAGAGGGACACAATGGCATATCTAACTGTTAATATCTCAAATTATAATCAGTACCATTTGAATGTTAAACAACGTTTACATAGAAAATCCAAAGGAAGACTGATAATGCTCATTTTTATTATAGTCTACTGTATTCTATTCTTGAAATTAAAAAAAAGAAGCCACAGAAAGCAGTTATTAAATTCATGAAAGCTGTCTTCAAATATTTGAAGGACTGTTAATATAGATGGCGGATTAGACTTATTCTGCGTAGTTCCAAGAACTGTTTTTTGGCTCAATAAACAGATTTGTCATCCAATAAGAAAAGTCCTAGAAAGGAATATGAAACCTTGCAAAGGTAATAATAACCAACACATGCCAAGCTACTGCACTAAGTTCTTCAAAAGCATTAATTCACGTAATGCTCACAATTGTCTTACAAGTTGCCGTGTTACTGCCACCATTTTACAGAGGAGGAAACTTGTATCTACAGAGGTTTGGGGTTTCCCAGTGGCTGTGAAGACCCCCTTAGATTTAAAAATTCTCACTATGGGTAAGAAATTGGATAAGAGCATCTCTGAAGCCAGTTGCAACCCTCAGATTCCACTTTTTTGCATGGCTGTTTTCCTGTTAGTTTTCTTGCCTTGCGTATTTGGAAAGTCGGAAATCTTCTGACTTTAATATACTCTGATAGTACTATATTAATACGTTATTTATGCTTTCAGTATTTCCTTCCAGTCCATTACACTTTTTCCTGCATAGA